GCTCGATTGGCCCGCGCCCCATTGAACCGGCCGAGCCAACAATTTTTGATGGCCTTGTGGAATGTCTTGTTCGCTGTCGCCTGCTTGTTGCTTGTTGCTTGTTGCCTGCGTCTTGTTGCTAATTGAAAATGCGGCGTTTCATTAATTAATTCAGTGGCACATTTATTAATATTCATTAAACGCAATGTTGTTCAACCTGCCTCTCACTCACTCACGCACTTTCGCTCTCGCTCTCGCCTCTCTCTCACTCTCTCTCTCTCTTTCTTTTTCTGCCTATCTCTGATTAAAGTTAACTGACTGGTGGGCGTGGCTCTGGCCTGCATTTTATTTGCGGCCTCTTTTGTTGTGCTCTTGGCATTTGCTTAACCCATTTTCACATAGTATTTCACACATTTTTATATCTGCGCTTTCCCTCTCTCTCTCTCTCTCTCTCACTCTCTCGCTGTCTCTCTTTCTCTCTTTCCCTCTCTATCTATCTCGGAGTAACTTTTTGACCTTTTGTTTTTGATGCTCTGCTCGGCTTAGCTCTGCACACCGCGTTTATCTTGGCCCGCATTGCCGTTTGCCTTTCTTGCTTTGACACTACGGCGACTGCACCGTTATTCGCCCAGCCCACCGCACCCCTCTCCCTGTCGACTTCCACTTTGCTCTGTGTGTGACTTTAAGTGTGTATAAAATATGGCGCTAAAATGCAGTTCCCCCACACGTACCATTCCCTCTCTCCCTCTCCGCCCTCCTCCACCGCCGTGACTGCCGAACAGTCCGGGCTGCTCCTGGCAGCATTCGTTCCCGCTCTTTGGCCTGGCATGGTTTTTATGGCCACGTGCGATGTTTAAAATTTACTTGCTGGCATTTTTGCAGTCAAGTTGCTTAGCTCTCCACACCAACCCCACCCCACTCCGCTCCGCTCCGCTCTCATTCGTCCCGTAACTGCATCGATTTTATTCTTTTTCCTCCTCTGCTTTACAGCATTTGTAATCTTTTACACGAGCTGCTCGGCTAGGCTGTTGTTGATCTTAAGCCTTATGCAAATCAACTGTAAATTCGTCTAAGCAAATAAACGAAAATCTTTGTCTAACTATTGCTGTATAAACAGCCTGAAGATGAGATTCCTGGCCTGGCCCTACCGAGCAATTTAATTCGACTGCTGAGATTTAAGCAGTGCGAGCTTCAGATTGTAATAAAAAATAGTTAATCAAGTGAAGCTTTTAGAATTTAATTAACTATATACTGTTGAGGCTATAAAGTTTGTGCCGTGTGGAAAAACTTTAGCTCAAGTCGAAGCTAAAGTCTAGCAGCTTTATCGGGCTTTACTTCTCAAGTATTTGTTTACGTCTTTTAAATTACATATGAGGCGCTTGCTTTGAAAACTTTTTAACGGCAACAACGGAGGTGTTCCTTATATAAGATAAACTTTGTGTTCCACTAAAGTCAGGGAATATATCTTAATAATATTTCATTTGTTTTCCCGATAGTAATACTAATTGGGTATGCTGGCTTCATCTTTGATAGGCTTTAGCAAATATCATTCAGGCTGGCGATTCACTTAAATGGGTTTCTTATTAAAATGCGGCACGCAGCCAACGAGTGTATCTAATCGCATTCAATCTGCAGCTACTATACCTGTTCCTGCTGCTCCTCCTGCACACTGCCTCTCCCTCTCTCTCACTCCCTCTCTTTGGCTGTCTCACTCGTTTTACGTGCTCCAGAGATTTACAACAAATTACTGAACGCTATCCGAGCCGTATATCGCACAAGCGCGTTGGTCAGTCGCTATCAGCGTACATGGATCTTAGCTGCTGCTGGCCGCGATGTTGCGGATGTATGCGGATGCGGATGCGAATGCGGACACGGATGCGGATGGCTGACAATGCTGATAACCTGGATCGTTCGCCCGTTGCGTTCTGCGCTGAGTTCACTGCTGATGTGGCGTTGTAATTGAACCGGAAAATTACATATTTCAAGCTATTTTTACGCCGAGTTTAATGGCAGACGTGAGCAATAGCAACAACAATCCAGGCAGGAGTAGCAGCAGCAGCAGCAGCAGCAGCAACAACAACCGCAACATTTAACTGTTTGTGGTCAGCAGTGAAATAATTTATTGTTGCCTACTTTGCAGCGTCGCCTGCTGGCTGCTGCCCCAGCACGTAGCACAGAGCACGCCGAACATTTGCGGCTTGACTTGAGTGGCGCAGATAAGGTAAAAGATATGACCCAAGGTATGCTTTATAATTGCGTACAAATAAACGAGCATTTAGCACAATGGCGCGCACTTAGCTTCTGGCAAACCAGCTGAAAATGCTTTCAATGGGGCAGACTCGATTCGATTTAGTCGTCTCTAACGAGCTGCAAGTGAACAACTGTCGTCAACATGACCAACGGATAATGCACCACACACACACACACACACACACACACACACACACACACACACACACACACAC